ATCTCATTAGAATCTAAAATTTATATAAGGGATCGTGTTAACACTTACAGGTTAGTCTAGTATTTGAACTGGTTAAAGTCATCTATTCCTATGCAGATGGTTTTAACAGTAGAAAATACTGGCTTGGAACACAAAACCTGTGCTAGATATCTAGTTCTGACACGATATAATTACAGGATGTCAAATATCTTCATTCTGCCTCTCTGGGCTTCAGTTTTCTCATCTGAAATAGGAGAGATGTGGACAAGCTCCAAGATCCCTTTGACTCATTGCAAGGGCAGCCTTGGCCTGATTAAGGTCACAAGGATCTATCTACTCTTGCAACAGGGCTGTTCCCATGGAATACAAAAGAGAAGCAAGCTGGAAATGCATTAATTAAAGCCACATTTCTAAAACAAACTAGTTTCAAAACCTAACTTCTACTACTATCAAAAAGAATTCATTTTCCTATAAATATGTTGGCTGCAGTATGATGCTAAAGTGAAAACATCCCTTTGCCTCACTTAAGGAGCTCTGGTGGCACAGTGGGTGAGACATCTGGCTGCTAACCAGAAGGTTTGCAGTTCAAAACCACCAGCCGCTGAGCAGGAGGAAGATGGGGCAATCTATTTCCATAAAGATTTACTGCCTTGGAAATCCTATGGGGACTGTTATGAGTCAGAATCAACTCAGTGGCAGTAGGTTGCCTCATTTAGTATCAGTGAAGATACCACTGCTGAATCTGTAAATTTATAATGATTTTTGTTCTTTTTAATATCCAGAGACATAATTTTATATGCTGGTTTAATAGCTAATTCCTTAAAGGACTTATACTGATTTTTAAGTAGGGGAAAAAATTGGATTTGATTGGTGATCTCCTTTTCTGTGAGTGGTTGGTGGGGAGGGATATGGGCTGAGGAAACCTTTCAAAGAACATCCAGAGAGGGTTATACATGACACACTTCTCTTCCCGCCCAATACCAGGCCCTGGTATGAATCATAAGTTTCCCTCTTCTGATTGTACCAAACTGACAAAAAGTAAGTTTTACAGCTGGTGGCAAATAAAATAAAAAGACATCAGACTGAAGGCAAGGTCTCTCTCTCTGATACAAGGAATACAGTTGTGGGAGAAGCTTAAGCACTTTATTTCCCTAGGCTGGTAGAAACCGCAGTCCTTGAGCATCAGGTTACTGAAGGAATCAGCCCGGCACCACTCCCAAGGTCTTACACTTTAAACAAAAGGCAGAGGGAATGTTCACTCAGTTATCTCTCCCTACAGCAAACATCGTATTTTCATGCAGACTGTACAGTGAAAGGCAAGGTGACTGCCAGAGCACGTGGCTGAGGAAAAGCACGCCAAGATGGAGATTCTGAAGTAGGCATTCACAGTGGATATGTCCAACCCAACAGCCAACTGCTACGGAGTTGAAAGGCTCCCTAAACCAAAGCAATGTCAACCTTGTCTGACTCCATACATACAGAATGTACACAACATCTTCTAGAAACATTCACAAGGATGTTTTGCCAATAATTTAAACTCAGCTTCTTAAAATGAGGAATCCTCCCTCACATCCAACTCTTGTTGTTTCTCCTCAGGTCCCTGAGGTGCCTTGTTACTTCACATTGGCGGAACTAGAGAGCAGTAATATCGAAAGGTTGTCTACTTGGGAATGAGGTGATCAAGGAATGAAACTACCCCACCAGCTGAGGGACTCCCAGGGCCACAGCTTAAATTCTTCATCTTCTTAAACAACAATAAAAAGAAACAAAATACCCAAAGTCTGCCTATTCTATTGTCCTCAAAGAATTGGTAGAAATTAAATGAGAGAACTCATGTGAGCAAAGGTAAAATATTGTTAGTAGCCAGAGAAATATTATAATTTATAAGCATCATAAGTACAAATGGCAGGAGAAAGCTGTTTCATAGTAGTGAAAGGAAACTGTGGGAAGTTATGAAACCAGATTAGCAACTGTCTGTGAGTTAAATAGAGAAATTAGGACTTCATTCAGTGGACAATAGGAAGAAACCGAAGATTTCTAAGGACGGCATCATATGGTAAATAAATTTTTCTAAAAGCAGTAAATCCAATGAAATGGGCCTGGGTGTGAAGTGAAGGCTTGCTAGGAAGATTGTGCAATACACATGATAAGGCCTAAAAATTGTATAAGAGTGGCAGTGAAAGAAATTAAACAAAAGATGTTTCTTTTCCTTAAAAAACAAAAGTCAACATTTTACTACTTCTTTGTTCTAATTATAAATGTTCAAAGAAAATTTGGAAAATACAGAAGAGTAGAGAGAAGAAAATAAAAGCCACCTGTAATCCCACCTATTTTGACTGAATTTTCCCCAACCTCACAGACATTTCCAAGAGCTTGAAGCCTGGCTAGCCGCGAAGGAAAAAAAAAAAAAAAACATTGCCACTGAGGCAATTCTGACTCATAGTGAGCCCCATTGGGGTTCCAGTTTATGGCAGTAGATTGCTCTATCTTTCTTCAGCAGGATGGCTGATGGGTGTGAACCGCCAACCTTCTGGCTAGCAGTCAAATGCCTTAGGCACTGCGCCACCAGAGCTCCTTGGCTAGCCAGGAGGCATTCAGTAAATACACGAGGATGGGCTGAGTTCAAAGTTCAGACAGTGAGGAGACAGAGTTGCTATCACAGAGATACGAGGTTAGGAAAGAAGAGAGGCATCCAGCAAAGGATGCACTAGGCAGAGAGGGATAAGGAGGGGCAGCACCAGGGAAAGCAGAGCTTCTGCTCACCAGCCCATGGTCCTGAAAAGACAAAATCCAAGAAGGCCGTCTGCAATGTGGGTCATGGTGGCAGCCTAATGAGTTGGGTGCAGTCAGCAATGTGGGGTGACAGGATGGAATGGCTCCAGATAGCCTTGGATACAGCCCAGCTTACTCTGCAGTGGAGGGTTGGTATAATGGTTAACATGCTTGGCTGCTGTCCTAAAGGTTGGCATTTCGAGTCCACCCAGAGGCACCTTGGAAGAAAAACCTGGTGATCTACTTCTGAAAAATTAGCCACTGAAAATCCTAGGAAGCACAATTCTACTCTGACACACATAGGGTCGCCATGAGTTGGAATCAACTCGAGAGCAACTGGTACTCTGCAGTAGGAACCACCACTGAGTAATAGCAGTTGTTGGCAGTTTTGTGTCCTGACCCTTATTCTCAACCCAAGTCACAGCACACACGTGTGATACATACATATATGTGTGTGCGTGTGCGTGTGTCTCACACCTGGAACTCAAAAAGACAATTGAAACTTGACAAAAGAGAAAACAACAATTAGAAAAAACCTCACCTCCTTGCAAATTGTTTTATATTGGATTAAAGAAGACAAAATGAATCCAGATTATTTGTAGCCATTAATATTCATTGGTAACTTTAACTTCTACATTCTAGAGCAGAAATATTAGTGCATCAACATGTGCCAAAAAAAATCAAAAACCCAACCTAGAAATAACGATAGTCTATGCACATTTTGGGAGGTTTGGGTAAGAGGTCCAACCCAGTTAGTGCTACAACTAGTTCTCTATTATAGCTCTCCACCATTGTTCATGGGATTCAAATGGATTGAGAACTCTGTATTAGAAATAGAACTTTTAGCCTTTGTAAAACATAAGAACACTGCGAATCCTGTAAGCAAATATCTTACTCCTTTAATGCTGGTGGCATTACAAATGGAAACAGCCTTTGATAAAAAGCCATCTGGTAATATGTATCAAAACCCACACAGATGTTTATATCCTCTAGTATGGCAATACCCCTCCTTAGAATTTATCCTAAGGAAAAAAACACAATCAAAGAAAAGAGCTAAATGCATAAAGATGTGCACTGTAGCATTATCTATCTTATTAAAAATGTCCAAATGTCTATCGATGGAGTGCTGCAGTGTTTGGGAAGAGGAGGATGATGTGAGGCACTGACTAGACGAAAAGCAATGGGGCAGGAGACGCAAGAGAAGGGACAAGAGGAGGAGAGTATGTTGAGCTAGTGATGGACAGTAGCAGAAACTACAAACCTCAGTCCCTATTGTAAGGCCATGGGAGGCCACCAGATAGCCCTTTGGATGCTAGTAGAATGTCAAGGCTACAAAAGAAAATGTTTTAAAAATGAAAGTTATGTCAAGTTTTTACCAAGAGCCATTGAAAAGGAAGCTGCAGTGATAGAGTTCGGGGAAAAACTGAGATACTCACCTACAGAGATCCCTCTCTTATTGACAAAGGATTTCTGTGGCTGAAGACTTATTGCCAGAACCACTGCAGACTCCTACCCTCCCAGTCCCTCACTAACTGTGGAGTTCACTACTACAGAGGGCATTTCTTTTCCTTCCTCTGCACTGTCCTCTCTCCCAAAGCCCAGAGCCCCAGAAGACACTGTTAACAGAAATCCAGATATCCACAGTTCCTGCCCTGCTTTACGGAAGAGCTCATGTGAGAAACTGAAGTTCTGTGTTGTTTGTGTGTGTGTGTGTGTGTGTTTAATTATTATTTTCTAAATTGCAAGGGAATAAACTTATGAGGGTGAGGAACTTACAAACTGGAAGCAGCTTCTGACACTCGGCTCAATGTTACTTCCTCCAAAGGATGCAACTTCACCCAACTGTCTGGGGATTTGGATAGAGTCGTGCAGAAGAAGGCCCAGCCTGCGCTGGTCACAAAATCCTGTTGAACTTGCCACTTGCTTGAAAAGGTCTACAAAAGGAAGAAGAAAGTTACAACCAGCAAAAAGCAGCAACAAGTAGATGCTAGAAGCACTTAACGATCAATACGATCTCAGCACCAACTCTCCAATATTCCCCGAGAGTTTACTTTCTAATTTATGCTAATCTAGACATTATTCCTATGAACTATGTTGGAGCTCTGGTAGCACAGTGCCTAAGGCATCAGACTGCTAACCAGAAGGCTGGTGGTTCAAACCCACCAGCCACTCTGCAGAAGGAAGACTGGGCAATCTACTTCTATAAAGATTTACCGCCTATGAAACCTAATGGGATTGCTATGAGTCGGAATCGACTCAATGGCAGTGAGCTGGGTTTTTGGTTTTTTAAACATTATTCTTATGAACCATGTTAATCATCACTGCATATATGAAGCATGACCACCTTTATATAAACAATAGCCCTGCAAGAATTGTAAGCTTACATCCAACATTAACACTTGAATTTATCCTAAGTCAGAACACAACCTTTTGGAAATATTTTTACATAAGATATAGCTACTATCATAAACGTTTTAGCATTAAGAACCACAAATCTGGCCTAACGCATGAACCATTTGGACATCAGATATTAGACAACATACTAAAATTGGGACTTCTTTATGGAATCGTAAGATAATTTGAACTTCTAGCTCATCGTGTATGTGTTCCCATGGAGTGCCGTATATATTTGTAATTAGATCACATTACGTTGCACTGTCATTGACTGAATATGTGCCCGTCTTTTTGGCTGGAGAGTGATAACTCCTTGAGGGCAGGGAGTACTGTGTGCCAGCAGTGTCTAGGGTAGACTAGCAGTACCTAGAGGGCATCAAGTGCCCAGTATATGTGGTTGAAACAATGAAGGAACCCACCAAACACTGGTGATGTATGTTGTATTCTCAGAAATAAAATCATTTTAGAAACATCTTGTGTTCAGATGCAAGTTTCTAAAAATGTAACTCTTAGAAAGCTTTTCTTACCCATAAACACATTTTAATTCTAAGACATTAAATATTTGTATGATATTTCTAAGATGGTAATAACACAACAGAGATCACTAACATAGGCACAGCTTTTTACCATCTCTCTAACACACACACACACACATTGTCAAAGTGTGAATAAGTATTTTCAAATGTCCCAGTTTGAAGTTAATATTTTTGTTTCTTCAACTGCAAAACATGTCCTTTCTGAGTAGTTATTTGAAAAACAGGCTGAAGCTCCCTTGATTATTCCATCGAGCATTATGATTATACTAGTGATAAGGTTAGATTAGAAACCAACCTATAATAAGTAACTGCAATATTGAGGGGAAGAAAAACCCCAGAAATTCAGGAGGGAAAAGCAGTTGGGCAGGATAAGAACAAGAAAGAGAAGAAAAGACCACAGCAATATTCTATTTTATCTAAAACACACTTTTAAGTGGTGTTTTACAAAAGCTGTTCAGTTATTTTCATCTGGTTCTCAGGACAAGAAAACTCAGGTGGAAAGTACAAGAAAGAGCTAGAAGAGCGTGTGTGTTGTGGCTGACTCCTGCAGGGGCAACTGGCAGTCGGACACAGAGTGGTTTTAGAGGAATTCAATCTTCTTTGTGCCCTGTCTGTCCTTAAACTCAGTCCATCTCCTCATCTCTGTGTGGCTAGGCCTTAGGGAAAAACAGGAAAATAAAGATAGGCTGAGTTTGTTCAGTCTTCCTACTGAAAAGATTTCTTACAAGTATCTGAAGGGGAAAAATAAGTGCAGGCCTTCACAATAGGAACGGACAGTTACTTAGTCATCTAGACTGTCACTTTCTAGCATTGGCTTTCCATTTGGATTTCATTTTTAAGCAGAAAAACCCAATGGCTAATCAAAATGAAAGTCTATAAGGTTACCACCCTTTGAGAATTTACCCTTTGAGAATTGGCCAGCTATCCATCTCTCAAATAATAAAATGTTAGTCACATCACAGACTTCAATGTGTCAGCAAAACTTACCATAAGATGATTATAAAATGAACAATGTTTCTGGAACATGAATGCCAGATAGAATTCTTTCAATAAGAATCCAAAGATTAGGTAAGTGCACGGATTAAAGCTTCACGTTTATTTATTTGTATATATTTTTTGACTTATACATAGGGCTTAGGAAATCAGACTTTATCCCCTAGGGGCATGTCTTTTATTCACACACAGTCAATGTAATGTAAAATAATACTTGGACTGGAGAAGTTAATCCTCATTCTCTAATTTAAATACCTGCAATTTAATGTTTGACAAGGAACGACACAAACCAAATTTTATGATGCTCTAAAAGCAGTTCTACATCTTACATGAGGAACCTGCTGTCAAATAAGAACAGTATGTCATTTCCCATCTAGAAGTGGGGCAATTAGTGAGCATTAATAAAAGAATACAGAGTTAATATACATGACTTACATCTGTACTTGTCTTCCAAATGTGCTTTACACAGAGAGATGATGCCGGTTTTAAAAGACAGGACACGGATCCTCCCTGTTCGTCCCCTGTTATGAATAATCAAACCAGAAAACAATTACTGACACATTTTACTAGTGGATAATTTTTTTTTTTTTTTTTAGTTCAAGAAAAACCAAACTTGGATATGGAAATTCTACTGACCATTGTTTTTATTAAGACTGTTAACGTTTGTGTTCATTATCTATTTGGCTGATGACCTCGAATGTAATGGAAATATGACCCATGCAACTCATGAATATTTGACAAGTTTTCAATTCCTAAAAGCCCTTACCTGAACTGCAAGAGTAGCTCTATATAAAATGGGGAAAATTATCCTCTTTTTCATCTATGGAGAGCCACCTAGGTTCAAGCCAGTAAGTAGAAGAACTGCTACCATGCACTAAGCTATTTTGGTTAGTGAAGCAAATGACCTATTTTGATTACTGAAGCAAAAAAAAACAACTAACTGCTCTGCTCTTTTTAATACTTTCTAATATTTTAATCACACTGACCATTACTGAGAAGAAAATTAATCACTCTAGCCACATGACACAGTATAGAAAATATGAGTGCTTATCTCTATAAGAAAAATATGATACTCTATTAGACAGCCTTCAAATATGTGCTCTAAAAGAGCAATTTTAAAATAACCTACAGCAATACCAATGTTTCAATCTATGTACCTTTTCACTTTACACATAGAAAACTGAAATAAAGCATTCCATCTAACAATTTTATTAACAAGCTCATTTTATCTATGGGGAAAAAATAGGAATGAAAAGTTTCCCATTTTGTAGAATATGTCTTTCAATGATTTTCAGCTTCTTATTTTGTTACGGGAAGTGACTGGACCTTAGATGTTGGTATAAAGAGAACTTAGAATAATTCTACTTATGTAACACTTCAAACTCACAAAGGATTGGCCTTAGTTGTGATTATTTCTGGTGAAGAAACAACATGTTCAACTTTGAACTCATACAGTCTATTAAATCCAGCTGTCAAACAGAAATCCCTGATGCAAACACATTAGCAAAATTACAATCATTGGAAGGTTTTCTTATCTTTACCCCTCTCAAAAAAAA